TCGAACACCTGCATCATCATCTTCACCGCAACTCATGGAAGTATCACCATTAGATTCATCAAAAGTGATATGTATAGCTTCTTCTATAACCAGAGTTCTAGGATTATAAACTCTAAAACCTCTCTTGTTTTCACAATATCCCAAGAAGATCCCCTCATCAGATTTTTTAACAAACTTACCAAGATGCTCCTTAATGTTCAGATTGAAGCATTTGCAACCAAAAACTTTAAAGTAACCAACTACAAGTTTTTTATCAAACAACAGCTCATATGAAGTCTTGTTCAAGATTGGTCTTAAGAGAACTCTGTTCACGGTATAGCATGCAGTGTTTATAGGTTCATCCCAAAAGTACTTTGGTAAATTGCATTCACTAAGCATGGTTCTAACAGCTTCTTGAAGAGTTCTATTTTTCCTTTCAACTATTCCATTTTTCTGAGGTACTCTAGCAATAGAAAACTCATGTGTAATGCCATTGTTGTCACAAAATTCTGGAAATTCACAAAAATGAAATTCTGTGCCATTGTCACTTCTTATTTTTATGATTTTCAAACCAATCAGATTTTGAACCTTGGCAAACAAGGAAATAAAGTTTTTGAAAGCATCATCTTTATGTGCAAGAAACATCACCCAAGTGTATCTAGAATAGTCATTAACAATAACAAAACAGAATCTCTTGCCACCAAGGCTTGTGATTTGAGTTGGACCAAAAAGATCAAGATGTAGGAGTTCTAAGGGTTTTGAGGTAGAAACACATTTTTTTGGTTTAAAAGGTACCTTGACTTGTTTTCTAAATTGGCAAGCATCACAGATGCGATCTTTACAAAAATTGAGTTTTGAAAGTCCTCTAACAAGGTCCTTTTTGGAAATTTCTTTTAGCAACTCCATATTGAAGTGACAAAGCCTTATGTGCCACAACCAGGGATCCTCATTTGCTACTTTGAGACAACTAAGGCTGGAAGCATCAACCTTTTCAAGAATCACCACATAAATGTCATTAACTCTCTTTCCTTTGAAAACAATGTTGAACTTTGAATCAAGAACAATGCATTCATGTTTCTTAAATAACACGAGCAGGTTCCTATCACATAGTTGACTAACACTCAGCAAATTGTAACTCAGGTTGTCGACTAAAAGAACAATATGAACAAAAGTCTAACCATTCTTACCAACATCACCAATACCAACAGTTTTGGCTTTATTATCGTCTCCAAAAGTAACCTTTCCACTTGTTTTTGGCTTGAGCTTGATGAACTGTGATGCATCACCAGTCATATGTCTTGAGCATCCACTATCTATGAACCATTTTGATTCTTTAACACTGTTCACCAGGTTCACCTACACAGTAGTTCACAATATAATGTTTGGTACCCATTACTTTTTGGGTCCATCATGGTTAGCATTATGTCTAATAACCCACATGCATCTCATTCCATTTCTTAAGTTTTTCTTAATATAACAGTTGCTATTCATGTGACCAAATTGACAACAAAAGTTGCATACTGTCATTGGATCAATTAAATGAACAGGTTTAATGAATCTGACTTGCCTTCTCCTATGGATAGCAAACTCATTTGCATTTTGATTCAGTCTTATCTGATGAGTGTTAAGGTGAGATTCAGTGTCATTCTTTTGAAGGCGGTTCTGTTTCATATGATGTAACAATTGACATAAATCATCCATCCTTTTTTTTAAGCTGCATTGTTCACTTCTGAGTATGTCATAGAAATTTGTCTTTTTGTTAAGTTCAGCAAACACATCAATTTCAATCCTTTTCAGGTTCTCATTTTCATGCTTAAGACACTTATTTTGTCTAAAGAGATTTGCATTAACTTGTATTAGAAAGCTAATTTTCTGCTTTAATTTCTTGTTTCTAACATAGGATTCTTTTAAGCTGTTATGCATTTTTTCTAGGAAAGAATTAATATCAACATCAGACTCACTATCACTATCAGTTTGAGAGTTACAATGAGTTACCTCTTCATCTCTAATGGCCATGAAAGCCACTTGGACAGATTCCTCTTCTTCCTCTACTTCTCCTTCTGAATTGCAGTCATTCCAGATGATCTGGAAATTGTTGAATTTTGGTTTTCGTTCACTCTTGTTCTCCTTCTTTTTCTTCATTGGACATTCATTTGCATAGTGATCAGGTTGGCCGCATTCAAAGCACTTATCAGTTTGCTTTTTGTTGAATTCCAGCTTTCCTTTATTTCTGAAGTTGTTGGACTGATTTAGAAAGGAATTGCTATGTTCTCCTTTTCTGAATCTTCTCTTGTTGAGTATTCTTTTGAAGTCTCGTGTGATGGGTGCAATGTCACTATCATCACTTTCCATGTCATCTCCATCCAGAGAGATTATATCATCTTCTTCTTGTGAAGTCTTCAGAGCAATGCTCTTTCTAACTCTTGTGTCTGCTTCTTCCTGCACCTTAGACTTGAGTTTTAGCTCGTAAGAGGTGAGTGAATTTATAAGGGATTCAATAGATAAAGTGTTCAGATTTTTGGCTTCCTCAATGGCAGTCACTTTGCTCTCCCAATCCTTTGATAGAGCGTTCAAAATTTTTCTGTTTTTCTCACCTAGAGAGTAATCTTTGTCAAGAACTTCTAGATCCTTAATAAGATCATTGAATCTGCAATACATCTTGTCGATGTTTTCGTGAGGTTCCATCTTAAAGGATTCATACTTCGTGACCAGAAAAGATTTCTTCTGTTCTCTCACATTTTCACTTTCTTCGTGTATTTCTCGAAGTTCATCCCAGATTTCTTTTGCAAATTTACAGCCCTTGACTCTAACAGATTCGTTTGAGTCTAAAGCACTGTACAGTACGTTCATCGCCTTGGCATTCAGAGTGAGATGGGTTCTATCTTCAGCAGTTAGTTCCCTTCTTGTTTTTGGTCTCGGCCTGTTTGTCTCTGTATCAATAGTAGAGGCATCAAACGGACCTTCATTGACAATAAATCATAGCTCAATATCAATAGATTGTAAGAAGATAATCATCCTTTCCTTCCAATTCACATAGTTTGAACCATTGAACATAGGCGGTCTAGTTACAGATTGTCCGTCAAAGAACATGGCATTGTTGGTTGTCATTTTTACTCCTAAGCCGATTGAGCTTAATCTCAAGGAGACCAAGCTCTGATACCAATTGTAAGGATCGATGACAACCTAAGAGGGGGGTGAATTAGGTTATCTAAAAAAGTAAGCTAAGATATGAGTCACCCCCTTTTTTGACCTATTTTTCTTTTTCAAGAGGATCTCACAGAAAAGCAGTTGATCGACTAGCACAAGCAATTTGTGAGTAAAACAGGTAAGCAATATATATGTATATATAGCAAGACAGTAAATGAAGGGATAGAACTGCAAACCAAATTTCAAACTTGACTAAGTTTGAATATCACTTTATATATCAAGCTTCTTCAATATGATCAACTATCAACCAATCTCTTGTGTACAAATGAAGGATCACTTCCTTCTTGCCTCAAATCTCACTCGATCAAGCAAGGAAGTTTTACAATCACACGGATAACCCTCACAAAGCTACACTATTGAAGAAATTGAATCACACTTGAAAAGCTAAAAAGAGATGACACAATTAAGAGTACAAATCTTCCTTTTGGAGTATTCACACACTTGAATCACTCAAGATCTGATGTAGACTTAATTGTGTAAAAGTTGTTTTGAAGAGTTGACTAATCCCTATTTATAAGGGACCAAAAAATTCTTCAATAAATGCTGTCAACGGATAGAAGGCAGATGGAAGGTCAGCTAGCCGTTGGTAGTGTCGGACGTCCGGTACTCTGATTTTATGCGTCCGAACGAAGACAGTGAGTTCAAGATGATTTCTTGCAATTCTTAGGACGTCCGGTCCCTCCACAGTATACGTCCGAAAGTGAACTTGCAAACCCTTCTTCATTTCTATCGGACGTCCGATGCTCCAGTGTTTTGCGTCCGAAGTACAGCAACGTTTGTCGGACCTCCGGTATAGAGGTATTGTGTGTCCGAACGAGGTCAGTGATCATAGATGTTTTGACATATTACCTTCGGACGTCCGAGTGTGAGTTCTTCATGCGTCCGAAGTCACTCAATGGTTGTCGGCCGTCCGTTATGGTTCTTTTGTGCGTCCGACAGTAATTTATCAAACATTGATCCAGTTTTGGCTTTAGGTCTTTGATCTGGTTTTTGTTCCAAATCCTGAAATGAACTCTTCAAAGAATATTAGTAGCATCCAATTGTTTTGTAATCATCAAAAGTTATGAACTGAGATATACAGTTGAAAATATAAAAAAGTAAATTGAAAAATGTGTTTATAATACAAGCGAAATATCATTTGGTAAAATTGAACTATCCAAACACACTTATTAATTTTTATTAGGTGAATTTGATTAGATTGAATAGACTCCATTAAACTCGATTAGATTTCATCAAACTCAATTAACTTAAGTTCGAACTCAAGTAAAATTAAAATCGATCTAGCACGATCTTGAATTTTTATGAACTCAAGTTAAACTAAAACTCCCTCCAGAGGAATTGGTCACCACATTAATTATGGGGTGGGAGGTTAAGGGTTCAAAATCCATCGAGTGTGTGGTGCACCCGTTTAGTTTGATGGTGGTTCAGTCCCCGTCAGGTTTCCCTGACTCAATTGAGCTATCCCATAGAGTAGGTTCCCCCGGTAGAGATAGGAGTAGATTAGGTTATGTTAGATGTGCAGTTACGACAAAAAAGAAAAGTTAAACTAAAATCGAGCTAGCACGATTCGGTTTCTAAAAACTCAGCGAACTCAAACTTATTTTAGTTAAAATTCGAGTTGTCCACTGTTGAACTCAACACAAATGCAGCTGTTTTAGCGCTAGTGAGAGACTAGAAAATGCAGTGAAGATGTATCTAGAATAAGGCTAAGTTGGGCCTTTTGTTTTTATTTTATTCTTTTTTGTCGTTTTAGGCTTTCTGACTTAACGACATCGTTTTCTCTTATCCCAAAACCCCTACACCAACTCCACCTTCCTCCGCTCGGTGTGAAATTACCAGACTTCTCCCTTTCAATCTTCAGTGATAATACTAGAAACTTCTATGGCGGCGGCACCAACAGCTTCAGCTTCAACAGCTTATCTTTGTTCATATGCTTCTCCTCATCGCCCATCTCTTCCTTCATCTTCTTCAAATTATTTCCAAACCCATTTTTCCTTGAAACCCATTTCCTCCAGAGGCTTTTGTTTTTGTTTGCCCAAAAATGCAAACATTCCGGTAATCAATAACAACAGCAGCAGGAGATGCCGATTTCTTAAAGCTTCTCAGTCACACTCCGAAGACTCCGCTTCCGAAGTAATTTTTTTCTGTTTAGTTGCTTTTAACTCGTGATGGAAGTTGTGGCTGATGTTCTTTCTTCGCTTGGTGTGTTTAGTCGAAGCCAATTTTGATTCTTTATGTATCTTAATCTGAGATTCATTAATTAAAATTTGATATTGGTAGGTAGGCTTGATTTTGGGGAATTACAAGCTGAATTTCAAGTATAGATATGTAAACAAGAACAAAGATGTTGTTATTTTAGTTGATTTTTTATTCTAAAAAATTGTGCAACTCTGCTGGAATTTGGTCAAAATACAGTGAACAGATACATCTTTTCTTTCATCAATTTTGTTTTAAGGTGTCTGCTTTCAGAGAAATTACTAAATCAACTTATTGACAGGAATTGTAAGTAAGTAGTTCATTCATAGTGTTTCTTGCTGGCTTCAAGGCTGCTGCTGAAAAATGAAGTTTTGTTTGTCTCTTTTACCAAAAACTCTTAAAACGGGACGAGGTTAAGTTGAGTTCCCCTTACACCACCACCAATGAATCAAAACAGAGAGAGAGAGAGAGAGAGAGAGAGAGAGAGAGAGTTAGTGTACCATGTCTGTATACTTTACAGTGTGTGTCTCATATTTCAAAGTTTAGAGATCGCTTCCTCTGTCACTGTCTCTGTTTTGAACCTATTATTGGTTCTTATCTCATGCAGTGTTCCGTTCATTTACAAAGGTAACAAGTAATGGTAATTTTTCATCAACCATATAAATTTTCTGTAAAATGGGAGAAATTTTGAGTACTTTTATAGCTGCCATTGCATGCTTAATAATATCAATGTGATACATGATAGACTGATGATGAAGATGAGACTCCTCTCAGTAAAACAGAAGAGGAAGCGGACCAAGAACTTCCTTCAAGATTGGAGTCTACTATCTCAGCTTATAAGGAGGCCATTTTAAATGGAGATGAGAAAAGTATATCCGATTTTGAAGAGATAATACACATGGTAGAAAAGGAGAGGAATGAGTTGTTAGAAAAGGTTTCTGTTTTGTCAGATGAAATTGGTGCTCAGAAGGACAAGTATGTTCGTTTGCAAGCAGATTTTGACAACTTCAGGAAGAGAACAGAGAATGAGAAGCTAACAATAAGGAGTAATGCCCAGGGAGAAGTGATTGAGAGTCTCTTGCCTATGGTAGATAACTTTGAACGAGCCAAGCAACATATCAAACTAGAGACAGAGCAGGAAAAGAAAATTGATGCAAGTTATCAGGGCATATACAAGCAATTTGTAGAAATCATGAAGAACTTGGGTGTATCTGTTGTACCAACTGTTGGGACATTATTTGATCCTATGGTAAGCCAACACTCTTATTGCTTCCAGCATTCCTGCTGATTTCTTTTTTCTTACTTTCAGCAGGATCTATAACTGATTGGTTGGTGGCAGATTTAGCCACTTATGAACTCTTTCAAAACTTTGATGCAGATGGTAAAACTGAGACCTCAACCCAGATAAGCAAACGTACCCTCTAGTCTGAGGGGCTAAATAATTTTTGGTGAATAAATGTGCTAATGCTTAGAAATTTAGCGAAGTTTTGGTTTTCCAAATTTAGTTGATTATTGGTGGGAAACCCTTGAGTAGGCCGTCAGGCTGAGACTCGACGAGAAAGAAATGATGCTGGAGCAACTGTAATGAAGATACAGTATTGGATCCCCTTACATATTAAATCAGGACCTGGTATCCTAGTTTGACTGGATTAGTTATCCACCTAGAAGTACTATGATAGTTGGCCAGGTTGTAAACCAAGCCTATAAGAACTGAACCACTATTATGGGTTGCAATCATTTTTGCAAGAAAAGTAGGCTGTTTTGGAAGTATATTTGTTATACGTCCATGAATTCACAAGATTGCCTACTCCAAGAAAGTATGGAGAATTATAAACTCCCTGGTGTTTCGAATTCTGATTTCTTGTTTTGGCCTCCCCAAAAAGAATTGTTGTTTTCTTTGATATTTCTTCATTTGATGTACTCTTTGTGTATAACAGAAATGATTAAAGGGTTCATCTACATGTTTTTTGCTAACTCTGTATTGGAATTCCTGTATTCTGTTCACACTCTCTTTGGGCTATTATGTTATTCAGTTTTTTTTATTCATATTCTCTTTAGTCGAACTATGGCCTTCAGTTTTGGGTGAAGGCAGTATAATTTTCATATTCATACTGTCTTGGTACACCCCCAAAAGCTCTATTTCCTTCTCTCCAATCAGGACAACTTTATAAACTGCAATGGAAGCTGAAATACAGCACCAAGAAAGTGAAAATAGGCTGTTGTGGTTGTGACTGTTGAGTGATGATGGACACTTAAATTTTGAGGTGACAAGCTTGAGGGATAAAAAATGTGGAAAAGAAAGATCAGACCTAGAAAGTTGGCGTTGAACTTGTCAGGTTTTACAGTTACCATCTAATGTTTTGTGGTGTTGAATGTTTGCATCCATGTGGAAAGATACACAATAGCATTGTTCTTCATGATTGTAATTGAGAAATACAATGCTACTACAAAAAATGCATATGGACTGAGATTTTTTTCATGCTGAGAATACTCAACTGGATGAAATTAAAAGTACGAAGCTCGGAGAGCTAGCAATTTGAGATTGAAGTTCCTTAGGTCCTAGATTAGCTGCTGAACACGATTCATTTTGTCTTGTAAGTTCCTGTTGTTTATTTTTTTGCAAGAGGTCATTCTTGCCTCAATTTCTGCAACATGATCAATAGCACCCAAACTATTAAAAGTTTTAAAGAATAGGTTTGGAATTCATGTGCTTTGGCATACTTGATTTCCAAGAAAAGGCTTTTTGTATAGTAGTGATTTATCTTAGATAGACAAGTTTGGAAATTCTTGATTCCTGTCAATCTCCGATTCTTTTGTAAAGGAGCATTTCATAGCAGTTTTCATCTTAAAACTTAAACTTTCAGGCCGTTGGGCTTCTCCATGTAGCATTTTGTTTGGTAACTTTTTGTAACCAAGCATCAGTTGCAACTCTCAGAACAAGAATGATTAATCTGCCCTATAATTGGCCTGACATACTTCCAACTTATCAGAAATGTCCTTCCACTTGCAATGCCACCCATAAGAAATTCTTTTCTCTGAAAATAAGGGGTATTTACATTATGAAGGCCGAAAGTTTTTAAAAGGTGTATTCCCCCCCACACACAAAAGAAAAGCCAAATATTGTCTCTTCCTCCCTAATAAATCTGGGAGTAAGTTTCTTTGTTTAGGTAACTATCATCTGTTCCAGCTTCCAGAAAATGAAATTTACCACGAATGTACCCCGTAATACTTTGTTACATTTGGCCCAATGTCCCAACCCAAACTTAGTGTTAAATCTCCATATGCAATGAACCTCTCATCCAGAGATCAAATTTCTTTGTTTACCCTACTCTTTGAACACTTGGAACCATGAAATAAAACGAAATTTTCAAGGCAATAAACTGCTTTTAATCTGCCTGACGAGAGATTGAGTGTCACTGGAAAATTCATCTGAAACTTTCAGTGTTTACTTGTAATTCTTCTAGCTTAGAATCTTTTTTGTAATAGTTGTCTGCAATGTTAGTTGCTGCTGTTTACTGAAAGCCTCCATTACTATTAACAGAAGAATTAGAGATGGGGTTTCCTGTCTCCATGATTGTGACCTAAAAATAAACATGAGAAAAGCAAGCAATATGCCAGTTAGGACAGTTGAGATACAATTGGAAATTGAAAAGGTGTCAAATTAAAGCCCATGGATTGCATCCAAGTCATCAAGAATTTCCAACCATGTGATTTGCTTATTGCCTAACCTTCTAAAGAAAATATGAAGGCAAACTATTTATCAAGGATTTGCCCGCCCTTGTGGAAATGGTCATTGAGTAAATTAGATACTTTTATCAACAAATCTCCTCAGGTTAAGGTGTGCCCTCTGAAATCATTCATCGATCCTGGTAATAAAGCTGATAGGCCACACTTTCTTTGTGCATATCAAGTCACTGGAAGTGGTTGTGGTGCTGTGTTTTAGGTCTTATAAGTTACTTCTAGCATTGTCTGTGTGTTTTTTTCTTTTTTTTGGGTTCAAGATTGTTCATGGCTTAATTGATTTGTTGGTTTTGGATCTTAGTATTTATCTAAGAGAAATTGGAATCAGGAAGTGAAATAAATCCGTTACAGATAACAACTATGGGCTTCAAAAATTTTGGGATGAACCCCAAAAACCAGGAATTCTTGATCCCTAACAAACTGGAGGGTTTTGCTCAGTTCCCAAATTTGATTTGTGACCTTCTAGGAGAATTATTTATTCAATCATTTCTTTTCACTTTCTCCCTCTCCCCCTTTGTCCTTCACTGACTCTACTTACTCCTTGCTAGCAAATCCATTATGTGCTCTCTCTCCTTTCCACTGCTGACTGCAATCCTCTCTTCTACCTATCAATTTAGGAAAATTTTGCAGATTTGCTAACAAGAACAAATCAAGTTTTTCCAAATGTACATGCCCAAATCTAGTGATGCCACTGTTCTTTCTCGCTGCATTCTCTTCTCTACGTCATCAATAGCTGTTATCTTTTGTTCTCAATCTCATTGCATAAGTTAAATTTTTGGAAGGAACATTTGGAAAACTAAGTAGATAGAGGCTCTTCTTTGGAGTTGGACTACTATAAATCTAGCCTTTCTGGGTTTGTGATGTGATTTTGATCTTTAATGAAACTCTGTCTTCTTTTAGGTAATATCATAGAAATTCGGGGTTGGTGATAAATTAGCCCCTTATTCAAGGTTTTCTCTTGGTTTTCCCTAAAGGCCTAGACTTAGATCGTGGGTTAAGGTAATTCCCCTCTTACTTGCACCACCACCTCTGTCCGGCAAATTTTTCTCAAGAACAATTGGATGTTGAGTTGCTGTACACAGTGATCATATTATTTATCGCTATGTTCCACATGATCTTAGGTTTTTTTTTTAAAAAAAAATGTTCCATTTAGACCTGGAGCCAATACTATGCATTAAGTTTTGGTGCAGCCCAATTTGTCAGCCATGTAGGGTTTTAAAAGCATCTTTTCTGTTCATCTACAAAAGATGGTGCATTGCTTATTTAATTAAAATGATGATGCATATGGAGGAAAAGCTTGTGCTTAGAAGTGATTCAGCATTAACCTCGTCTTTATGCTTATAGCAACTTAAATGTATTTATGGAAAGGTGTTTGGGATTGAAATTGGACGACAATCCTAATTGGTGAGATGAATGATCCATTACACGTGGCACAATATGCTTAATGAATGATACACAGCTAATTTGTTACTGAAGTTAAGGGTGAAAGTAGAGAATAGATGCATAGATGCTCACAGCATTCATCTGGTCCTTGCTCACCTGAAATTTTAGTTTTTGTTCTTGGTAAATGTTATGTTTCTCAATTTGAAACTTCAATACCTTTACAAATGTTATTTTCATTTTCTAAATCCTGGTAGTCTCTTTTATATATTCTTCTTCCCCCAAGCAGTACCCATGTCAGAGATGACATCACACTAGGATCAGTATTCGACACTTAATCTGAGGTTTTGGGCATATTAAAGGTAATGATGAACCTTAGAACAGAAAAAAGAGGGAAAGAAGGGTGCAGTCTCTTTCATGGTTGAAAAAACTATCTTTGACTTATATATGTTGATTTGGGTGTGGTAATATCCCTACACCTCATTTCTTTTCTCTTCTTATACTCTGTTTGTTTCTATGCACTACTAGAGAGTAATAGTCAGTCATGCAATATCGTATTTTCTCGACATGTTACTTGGATATGAGCATAAATGAACGATTCTATACCCATCTTGGTGTCTTTGGCAGTGTTGCCATAAAATTAATGATAATAATTACCTGTAGTTTACATCCATATGCAAGTCCTCGAAACATCCATGGTAGTTACCATGTACCTGTAAAACTATGGATTTTCTTTCCTGTGCTTTTTCTATTCCTACTGTGTTAAAAACATGGCAAGTAACTTTGAGGAATAATCTGGATAATAAAGTCACATGATGATTTTAGTGACAAATATTGGCTGTGTATGCACTGTGTTTGCTTGTACTGCATTTTTTATGGGACAAGCTTGTTAGGGGCAAATATGAGAAACATTCTTCTGAAGCAAAAAGACAGAATAACTGCCATTACTCTTTCCTGTGGTGCAAGCAGCCTGGAATGTCAAAAAAGAAAAGCTCAAGCACCCCCGCATCATCTGCATATGGTTTCATCTGAATTTTTCTTGAGACTAGTTCCAACACTAATTACCTGCCTGCATATCTATGACAATGTTTGACCAAAAATAGAATACATATAATACAATGATCTTACTAGATATAGAGTACAGAAAAACTTACATACCGACATACTTAGAGGTGTGGTGTGTTAGCAATCTGTCATGTTGGTTTACTGCTAAATTAAATCTGGGGTGCCTCTACTTTGAGGCTATGTTTTCCAGGATAAATCTCTCTTTGATCTTTTGACCCTTTCATTTGGTTGAAAGCTAGCATCTGCAAATCTATTGACGTGCTAGTTGCTTTGTATACATGGAAGTTGATGAGCTAGGTTAAACTAAAATCATGATTAGCTGGGGATAGTTGAACTAAGTGTTTCCTTGCTATGAAAATGCAGTACTACATCTTTTGTGATGTGACTTACCATGTGCATTCTTTCTCGTGGTTCAGTTACACGAGGCTATTGCCCAAGAGGAGTCTGAAGAGTTCAAGGAGGGTGTTATAATTGAAGAGTTCCGTCGTGGTTTTCTCCTTGTGGACCGACTTTTAAGACCAGCTATGGTCAAGGTTTCTTCAGGTCCTGGGGTAAGGCAACCCTCTTCAGCGGCATCCGAGCAGTCAGAGCAACCTGCTACTGCTGGAGTTGAGGAAATAGAGTTCAGCGAACAATCAACAGGATAAATCCCCCTGGAGAATGTCTTTCCAATCAACCTTCATGAACCCTTGATTCCTCCACTGCTGTAATCGACACTTTTTCAAGCTGAGATCTATTTCTCTCAATACAGGTCTTGCTACATGATGTTTCTGCAAAAAGACGACGAACCTGAATTTTCCCATGGAACATTCTCTTTAAAAATTTAAAGGAAGAGGAAATGTGAAACCTTAACCGCTTTGAAGCATGTGAGCCTTCTACAGTAGTAGCGATTGAGGCCCTTTCACTGTACTAGTGTTGAGCTGGAAAACATGCAATCATATTTTTTATTTTTGCTACTTGCAGATTTAGTTTAATATGGATTTTAGAGTTTTAACTTTTTTGTTTAATGTTATTTAAATGAACTTTCATTGTGAATTGGTCCTGTCAAGTCTAAAAAGCTAATTTAGATGACCAAAAAATAAAAAAAGAAAAAGTAGGACACCTGAAAATATATTTTGGTGGAGCACAGAATAAGCTGCCGCTTTCAAGCAGCTAATGGCAGGCCTTTCCATCGAGTTTGGAAAGAGACGAAAGCAAGACTGGGTAAAGGTAGACTAACCATGCAAATAGATTTACCTTGTCCGAAAGCTTTGCAAAGGGTAAATGTACAGAGGTTCCTAGCTAAGCTTCCTTCCTCAGTGTACCGCTTTTAGACAAGGCTGCAGAGGATAAAGTCTCTAAGCGATTTGCAATAAGGCCTCCCTGATTAATTAATTTCTAGTATCTGATATAGGGTCTAATGTCTATCAGTGACAAACTGCAATAGTTTATGCGACCTATTGCTGACAGACTGCAATAGTCCATGGTAGCACAACATATTCATTATCACATCTATTTGCTTTACTGTTTAAACATGAAATCTGTCTACCTGAACCTTGTTATGTAACTAGTGGTAGGAAGGATAGAGATGGCTGATTTTGCAACAGGTGCCGCAGGCAGCTTGGTATACGTCAATTTGGATTAAAAATCCCATTTTGGGTTGTAGATTGGAGGTTCAAGCTTCGCACCCTTTTAGTTAAAAAATTTAAAGGATGTGCAAGATTACCTTTTTGGTCTAGATTGGTCTGTCTTCTATATAATCCTTATACAACTCAATTAGATTTTCCTTCTTTATAGATTAGGATAGTATAGATGCTGCAAATTGACCTAAAACAAACTTTTAGTAATAAATTGACCTAAAACCAACTCCCTCTAGAGGAGTTGGCCACCACATTAATTGTGGAGTGGGTAGTCAAGGTTCAAATCTTGCCTCCCATCAATGTGTCTCAATATGAGGTTTGCTATAGTAGTTCAGTTCCCGTCAGGTTCCCCCGACTCAGTTGGGCCACCCCATAGAGTAGGTTCCCCCAGGAGTAGGAGTAGGTTAGGCTATGCTAGATATATCGTTACGACAAAAAAAAAAAAAATTTAGTAATAAATGGAAATAGTGGAAGAAGGGGAAGACTCCATGACTTTGGAATCAAGGGAAACTTGCCAAGCAAATTTTGTTTAAGGCGACTATAAATGAACAGAGGAAAATATAGGTAATTGCCACACAAACAACCAGGTATCGCATCGGGAGCTTGGAAATTCTATTAAGTTTGTAAGAAGCAAAAATGACAAGCTGTTGATGATTTCTAGTTGAAAAAATTAAAGACAAGTTCACGTTTATAGGTCAGAAATTCATACATGATGATAACTTCTTATAAAGGTTTAAATAGATTACAGAGTTAACATGTTAGAATTCTCTCTATGTAATGGTAAATCATAGGTTTCATCTACTGGCCAAAAGTAGGTTTAAATAAATATTCTCAAGATATGGTTCACAATTCATTTCAAAGTTGCTATAGATAGTGTGTAAAAATTTCAATTTCACCAAAATTAGGAGAAAATTTGAGGAAAACGCTAGGAAGAAACCTTAACCGCCATAGAAACTGGCCGGGAAGCCGATGGTGATGAGCAAAACTGGTACCGACGCCGACTCTGGCTGGTTTCTGCAAGCTTGAAGAATCTAGTTGCAGCCAGTAGTCAAGCTAGTGTAGTCTTTTTTCTAGCCGGCTAAACCATGGACTTTCTTTTATTGCCTCTTTTCTTGTTCGTTCTTAATTTCGCTTCATTTCTTCTTGGTTTCACTTCGTGTCTAATTAAAAGCACATCAAATTCTTCACATAAACATGCAAAGATTTTTCAATCTTCATTCCAATGTGTTTGACTTCCCACAGCACTTCAATATATAAGATCTCAGAAACTAAACCAATAGAAGTGTTTTTTTTTTTTTTTTTACTCAACATTCCAGATGGTAAATCAACCAAAAACTTAGCTCTTCGATATTTTATCAGCTAAAATGACACTAAAACAGCCACAAATATATACTAAAGCACATATGTTATCCTCACTAAACAAGTAATGTGACACTTGAATCATTTCTTATTTTGCAAGCAAGAAAAGAAAAACAAACCAAAGTAAACAAATAAAAGTATTGAAGTATCAACATATTCAAACTTATTTTTAAAGCATGAAAGAGATTGATGCGATAGCGGAAGCGTGAAAATAGAATTTGATTCATGAACGAAATTCATAGAAAAGAATAAGGGCGATCGATTCACGATCAAACCCCAAAACACAAATCAAATATTTGAAGGAAACAAAGAGGAAATTCTCAACAATTGGATAAAACCAACCAATATTTGATTAATAAGAGAAAATTCATATTACAAAAATCCTAGATATGCCTATTTATAGGTTAAAATGCCCTACCCCAAAAAGGAAACAAAAAACACAAGAAAAACTCTAAATGAGCTAGAGTTGTGTTCAACCACCACCAAAGCCCGGACAGTGTCCGACCCAATGTTCGGCGCCCGACATCATTGGAATTAGTTTCCGAAAATGATTTACGGATAGATCCACGAGGCTCTACTGAGAATCCGTCTGCAAATCTTCAATAATAATGCCTCGAAACAATTTTCTTTTGGCCAACTATCACGCATCCTAAACCACTGGGCCAATGGCTCAGTGGCCACCAGCCCCTACAACAGTCTCCTTAGTCTCCCCTCCTCCTAAATTAGGATAGAATAGATTATACAAATATATTTTTGCTGACAAAAAAAAAAACTATCACGCATCCTGATGACAGCCAATAATAATAATAAAATCCGCATTTAAAATAGGTAAACTATGAATAAAACTATAACATTTATCCTAAATTCGACTCTAAATAATTTCTTAAAATGGGGATGATGGATGCCTAAACCCACGAGGTCCTCATTCTACATCAAAGATAATCATCATTCAAACTTTAAATTCTAATTTTAGTACTTTATACTATCAAATAAAGAAAAGTTTATCATATTCATATTTGATCAAATCTATATCATATATTATCTTTAATCTAATTATGCTTCTCATGTAACTATTATAATCAACAAATGTAAAAGCTTAATTTGAAACCACACCTTATAACTAATACAAACAAGGTTAGAAAACTTGGAGAAAATTCCTGCTTTTTTCACTTTTCATCCTTTCTTTTCTTTTCTTGTTAAATCTTACTTAAGTAATGAACTTGTATTTCGACGTGAAAGTAAACATTAGTGGATAAATGCCCTCAATTACCCAATCAAATTACAAACTCTAGTTGCTTTACATACCTTCAATTTTACTATTTTATATCAAAGTCGACATTAATAGATGAAAATCGCTGGTTACTAAGTACTTTTATAAGAACGTTTTTTATTGAAATACACATTTTATTTCTTTTTCTCCCTTTTTTTCTCTTGCAAAAGAGAAAACCACTTTATTTAATCCTTGGAAAAAAAAAACTAGAACAAAAGAGACAATCACTAAAAAATGTCTTGTATTCATCAATTATTCTAGTCACAACTCACATAAATATAACATGAACAATAGATTTCATTAACTCAAAGAAATCTCGGCATGACAAACTTTATAATACAGTGCCATTCTCAAAATCAAAAAATTTTAAGTTCACACAATCACAATCTCAAGATGTCCTGCTCATGTGCTCATATCAACAAATAGGAAAGTATCAAGTTTCAACTCAAAACACGTTCTTCACTCCTAAGTTTCAAATTATCTTTAACACAGATAGACATGAAACAAATTAGCATGAGATACTCCCACTGTATGTTAACATGAGTCGGCATTAATGTGGTAAAGTTTGATTGTTATCCTATGATGAACATTCAACTTGCTCTTACACAAATGAAGATAGACAAACTTGGCAAATTCATTAAAGAGGTATCAAAATAAATGACAAGATATCAAAGTACCATAACCCAATTATTACACACCCAAAAAAAAAAGTAACTTGAGCAAAAGCTATGGAAATGAAATGGAAATAATATTAGGTGCCTTCTAACATGTGCTTCTTTCTAGTTATTAACTTGACTACACTTCCATATTTCAAGGAGATTTCTTGAAGGAATAATTCACTATTTTAAGTCATGGTAAGGCAACAAAAAGCAACTCCAATCCACTGCTATCTACCATGAATGGATTATTTCTTACATAATATATAGCCATTAAGTTGAAAGGAAAAATATTTATCCACCCCAGTAGCTCAAAAGGTGGTTTAATTATAAGAGCCATATAATCAAATAGTGAGAGAGGTGGAAGTGTTTTACCTCTTTCAAGTGTTTCTTTGACAGTATCTCTTTTGTGTATCACTTGAGAACTCACTAAAAAATCCAATAGGTTTAGCTTCATTGATGATGTCTTTTGAACTTAGGTTTAAAAATAATTGTTAATAGTTATCTATTGATGTTCAAGGTCCAACCTCCAAGACATTATCCAATGAAGCGGAAATGTTCTCATTATAGTTTCGATTATGTTCATCATTTCTTCAAAGTGCAATTCACTTTCCTATGTGACAACTTTACTATTCTATCTGCAGTTGATTTTAATTTTACTAGGTGAATTAACTTCGTGTATAGCATTCATTAACTTATCTAATAGTTCAACCATTACTTTGAGGTTCAAAGTGATTTGATTTATCCTTTATTCAATTCTATCTAATCTATTGTTGCATTTCTCAAAGTGTTTGGAAGTCACATTTGCTAGCTGTTTAATGGCTAACTCCTAAGATAATGTAGATTCATTTTGCACAAATTCCAATTAGAAAATAGGGAAAGTAATAGATTCACCATAGTTACATTGATTCCTCAATTCAAAATTAAAATATTTCATGCAACCAGGATTACTTTGACTAAAATAGGAATTATATTACTGAAATTCATCAAAATGATCCATATATTATACTTGCATACATTCATAAGTAGCATGATATCCACCACATAAAGTACAAGTTCTATAATTTGAAAGGACATCACTTTCCAATTT